CCCATGTTTGCAGGTTAAGATACTAAGACGTAGGAAAGTTAAACAACTTGCCCAAGGTCACACACAGAAGATTAGGACCACATTTGTCTGACCTCAGAACCCCAGCTGTCAACCACTGGCAATCCTGCCACTGACCTGTTCCTACAGTAAGTTTAGGTTAATGTCACTTCAGAAATAATGTCATTCACTGTAGTATAGAATTTTACTAAAATTATTATTTTAATTGCTTGATAATTATGTTAATCTTCGTTTACAGACCTCACAGAGGTTCTGGACAAGGTCAATTGAATTTTTTAAAGTGCTTAAGAACTTGAATTGTGAAGTAAGACGACCCAGGTTATCCGCCAGGTGACCCTGGACAGATTACTTCACCTTGCTATGCCTCAGCTCCCTTAACTATAAAAGAGAAATAATAATATCTGCTTCCTGGGGCTATTGTGAGGATCACAAGAGATAATATCATACAAAGCTGATAGCAGACACTAAGAGTGTTAGTTATTATTATTGGAACAAAATGGCTTCCTATGGAGAAAATTATTTGTTCTAGTGTTATGAAAATTTGGGATCTACGAAGGCCTTGAATATATATTTTTTACTCTACCTGAATTTCTACATCGCCATTGTTTTTCTTTATTATCTGAATTTAATCAGCGCTTAAATTGCTTCTAGCCATGTAATAGAATTTAATTCAGAATTTAGAATATATACATTTATATAGAATTATTAAAATTATTTAGAATTTGGAATATACATGTATATATCTTATGAAGATTAAAAGAGATTAAAAGGAGATGATTTGTGACAGGAAGCCAAGTGACTATCCAGTTTGTTTAAAGATCCAGTTCTATGCAAGAGGCTATTAAAGTATCTCAGATAATTTAAACTTGACTTTGGCAGGGATATTTTTCATGTGACAGAGCACTCTCCACTTTTCGCATTATCCTGAAGAAGGTAAACACTGCAAACCTTTGTCTTTATGGCATCTTATTTGAGAACAAGGCAAATTATCAAACAGATGTTCCCATAAACCCAAATTCAGAATGTTACTGAGACCTTTTAAATCCCTATTCATCATCAGCTCATAAACTAAGCTGAATTAAGAAATGGTAGTGAGAAACATGGTGATGTGGCAGAATATATAAGCAGAGTTTATCAGAAATTGCATATCTGAGAGGAAAACAGCAGTTTAGCTCCCAAATAAAGCAAAACCAGTGGAATGGACACAAATGCTAACTTCAGCCAAACAATCTGAAGTTTGACTGAAGTAAGAAACTGTATAATTAACTACATTTCTCCACTGGCCCACAGATAAAGATCACTGCAAATTTTGAGCAAGTCTGCATTCAGGCCACTTTGTACAAATCCAGAAGTTTAAAAATATATGTACAATCTGCCTGTAACCATAACAACCTTTCTCACTCCTCACTCCACCACCCCCATCCCAAGTTGTTCTTAGGTAGGCCATGTTTTTCAGCTTTTATTCAAAACAAATTATTCCTTAAGGAAAGAGTTACACTGAATTTTCATATAGAACAATGTTTATAACTGGTATTTTCCATTTATTCTTATTTTCAATGATTTTCTCAAATAATCAATAAAATACCATTACACTGCCTTTGCCAACATCCATGAGACTTTGTGAGTCATGTTGTATTTCGTGTACAATTCAGCAAAGGGCTGTCTTATGATGCTCCAAGAAAGTCAACAGATTCACCCTTCTGTTATTAAGGCCAATAGTCATTTTATTATTATGAAGGCAATAGGAATTTTTAAACAAGTTTAAGAAAATACACTGATAACCCTCAGCTTTGGACCTTCTTGATACTTAGCATTTGAAATGAGACTATGAAATAGAAAGTGATTAAAAGTAGAGATAAATTCAGACAACGTACCTTTTTAGTATTTTTCTTATTCAAAAATCAAAATCACCACAAAAAAACAGAAATAGACAATGGTATTATTCCAGTGGTATCTGGCACTTCCAAACTAGCACACGTTTGTTTAGCTGAGTCAGCCAAATATCAGAAGCCCAAATGTCAAGAAGTGGGCAGACGGAGACCTAAATATACTTAGACAAGGGAATTTCCATTTTTCTAAGGATAACTATTTGAACACTGTTATGATATCAGATAACAAATGCTGCTATCTATTATACAAGAAATGAATGGACATATAGAATGCATAGTAGGCACTCAGTAAATACTAGTAGATATTAATATCAAATGAATACTAGTAGATAATATTATCATTGAATTAGTAATAATATCCAAAAGCTCAGTCTTAGCCAAGTAAAAAATACAAACAAAAGTGAGAATTTACACAGGTTATCCTCAGTTAATGAATTCATTTCTTCCATGATAATGGCAGAATCTTGTGTCTGACTAGATCTGATCACATCACTCCTCTGCTTAAAGGGTATCATTGGTTCCCATTCCACTGAAGATAAGGCCCAGGTTCCGGATTCCTTAGCACAGCATGAGCTGCTAGCCAACTTTGGCTTCTGTCACAATCCAGTCCCTTTCCCATATGTCCTGTTTTCTAGTCACATGAAGCCAATTTTTATTTCTTGAACATGCCGTGTTTCTCATGACACTCTGCCTACAAGTCTCCCTTTTCCCTTATTCATCCGTCCAAATCACTATCCAAATCAAATGTCACCTCCTGAGTAGCCTCCTCTGATAGTCTATACACTATCTCTCTACTTCTGTTAATCTTTAATATTTTTACCTTTAGCAACACTTATAAAATTGCATTGTAATTTTTAAGGCATGGCTTTATTTCTAGCCTCTTGCAGTGTCCTATTTCTTTGAAACTCAATGAATTAACACATGAGTACATGCAAGGCCTGTACTTTCTCCTCTTATAAAACAAGTGGGAAGAATTTCCTAGCTCAGTCTCTGTCAACTGAGTAAACATTACCTAAGTACTTCTTATGAACCTAGTCTTGTGTAGGTTTTTATGAATATGATTTTTTTTAAAGGCAAAGTTCTTATCCCCATGGAAAACTCTATCAAAGGAGACAAAGGGATAAGTGCTCTGGTTGTATGAGGAAAACATACAAATCTAAGGAAAACAAAGGAGGAGATCCCGACCCAAGCTGGGAAAAGTAATTTGCTCCTTCAAGGAGAGAGCCACCAGTTCTAAAACTTGAAGGATAAAGAAGAAGAAATTTTAAAAGCCACATTAGGTGTTTTCCTTCCTGACTAGAATAACCGACCCACATTTCGTAACTGTCTAACCAGGTTGTATGAATCAAGGATCAGTGTATATATAAATTTTGTTCCAGATTTTAAGTCAATACTCTTTTAATAGACTCTGCCAGCCTGCTATGAGTAGTACTGGGCACCTCTTGGTACAATTTATTTTATGACTAAAGGGTACATGTATAAAAGATGGCATTGCCCAGCCAGGTAACAAAATGGTCCGAGACTTTGTAAACTCATTCACTTTGTGAAAGGAAAAGAGACCTCAGCAAAGCAAAACATTACTTTAACCAGCTACTATAATAAATGCTATTTATTATTCTAACGAGGAATCTTGATCATTCAGTCGCCAGGCATGAGCAGTGGTGGAAAACTGCTACCACTTTGCACCTCCTGTGTATATCCCACAGATTAATTGTGTTCTTGTCTGACTTGAGTTACTATAGCCTTTGAATGACAAAGAACATTGTAGAAAATTAACAGATTGAAAACAGAAACCATCCTCATCTGAGACCATTTTTTATAGTGAATACATTTATATTTTCATTGAAGTTTCCCTTCTCTCTCTACTTGATCTAAATCTCTTGACATCATTTCTCAATGCAATGAAGAGTTCATACCCTTCCCATTTTCACTATTATTTTGCTGTCTCTCTTAGTGGATGCCTTGATTAAGCCTTATTCTTTATATGAATGTTGATGCTATTCTTAGTGCTGTAACAGTAGCTTTGTTTCAAAGAAATAGTAGACACTGCAAGATGCTAGAGATACTACAATAAAGCCATGCTTTAAAAAATCACAATGTAATTTGATAAGTGTTGCTAAAGGTAAAAATATTAAAGATTAACAGAAGTAGAGAGATAGTGTACAGACTATCAGAGGAGGCTTCTCAGGAGGTGACATTTGATTTGGATAGTGATTTGGACGGATGAATAAGGGAAAAGGGAGACTTGTAGGCAGAGTGTCATGAGAAACACGGCATGTTCAAGAAATAAAAATTGGCTTCATGTGACTAGAAAATAGGACATATGGGAAAGGGACTGGATTGTGACAGAAGCCAAAGTTGGCTAGCAGCTCATGCTGTGCTAAGGAATCTGAACCTGGGTCTTATCTTCAGTGGAATGGGAACCAATGATACCCTTTAAGCAGAGGAGTGATGTGATCAGATCTAGTTAGACACAAGATTCTGCCATTATCGTGGAAGAAAATGAATCTATTCACTGAGGTTTGAGAAACTATGGACAAGGAAGCTATAGCATCAGGTTGGGAACACTGACCGAAGTGACTGTTGGTTAAGTCAAATGGGAAAAGCCCGGCACAGTGGCTCACGCCTGTAGTCCCAGCACTTTGGGAGGCCAAGGCGGGCAGATCACTTGAGCCCAGGAGTTTGAGACCAGCCTAGACAACATAGCGAAACCCCATCTCCACAAAAGGTACAAAAATTAGCTAGGCATGGTGGTGCACACCTGTGGTCTCAGCTACTTGCTAGGCTGAGAAGTAGGAGGATCACCCAAGCGTAAGAGGTGAAGACTGCAGCAAGCCGAGATCATGCCACTGCACTCCAGCCTGGGTGACAGGGCAAAAGAGGGTAAAATTCATAAGATAAGCATTTCCTTTCCCTAGGATATTTATACCCTCCTTCTCTGATACAGGTTGTCAACTCCATGGGAAAATGAACTGCATTTTTCTCTGAAGCCTAATGTCTAAATAACAGCATTCTTACTCTCTTAGCATGAGTAACAATAATAATTTAGTAAGAGCAAGCAAATAATATTGCAAGCTGAAGGAAATTCCATACCTGAGACACTTTGCCTATTAGAATCGGAGTCCCCGTTACTGGAATTAGAATTGTTGGAAGAGTTGTTGTCAACCCCTCCCAGAAGGGGGCGCAAGTGGCTTACTGAGACTTGTTCAATGAATGAAGTTCCATACTTGCGAAAATACCACCATTCAAATATCTAAAACAGAAAAATAAGCGTGTTTATGGTCCCTGTTATGATTTATGACTTCTGTACATATGCCCATAAAACATGTTACATTTAGTAATTCTATCCACCTTAAGTACATTTTATTTCAAAAACTGTTTATTCTAAAAATTAGTTTTTAGTAAAATTAATAATAACATTTAAAATTCTCAGTGTGGTTTTCTCTGCTTAATACTGGTTTCAAAAAACTATAATATCAATCATGGATAAAAGAACACTGTTAAGAACTGCTCAATATAATTTTTCTCCAAATTTGTATATAATATTCAAATAACAAAATCACCATAGCTGAAAGACAATTCCAGAAATGTATATAAATAACTCAGTTTTTGAAATATGGCTTATGAAATATTCCAGTTCTTTGCACTTTATATTCTGATAAAAACCATACCTGTGTAAAATGCTTAAGAGCAAAATCAGGGAGGGGAGGTGGCGGGGTGGGTGGCGGGGGTGTTTGGTAAGACTTCCTTAAGGAAATACTGTTTTACAGAACAAAAGAATGAGATGTATCCCATTTCCCACATGGATAGCACCCAGCCACTGAGGTTCAGCATTATCCCACTTGCAGAGAAGTGCTTTATAAACACAAGCATCTGTTGTACACCATTAATGTTTACTAGTTCACAAGCCTACTAATTGTTATGTACTGTGAATTACAAAAGGGAAAAGAAATAACTTTCAGTAACGAAAGAACAATGATGCTTATACGATTAGACTGAAGTCAGGACTTCCTAAGCACTGGAAAAGCAGTGACCTCCCCCAACACTTCTTACCTGAACTCTCTGCCTCTCTACAGTGAACACTTCCTACCACTGCTCAAAGTGGCTCTCTCCCACATCTTTTTCTCTCCTCCCTGATTGGGGGTTTCCTTAGGCAGTCACAAATCATTCCACAGAAGAAATTTAAGAATCAGTCATATCCCAGAGTCTCATAGGATAGCTACATTTTTATAACATAAAATGTGCAATTAACATAGAATTACCTTTATCCTTACTTATTCCATAAAAACAAGATTATCTACTCTGGAATGGACTTTGGGCTATAATTTTAAAACTGATGTTTTCTCTCTTTTGTTCTATTAAAGATTTCTAAAAAGATATAAGGAACATTTATGAACGACCAGAAGGACGTATCAATCCAATGAAACGTTTCCAATCCTATAACAGGACACCTTGATTTAATCCCAGGGAGTTACTCTTTCTGACTATAGGTTGAGTAGCCCTTAAATGAAATGCCTGGAACCAGAAATGTTTTGGATTTTGAGTATTTTTAGATTTTGAAATATGTGTATCACACTGGTTGAGCATCCCTAATCCAAAAATCCAAAATCCAAAATGCTCCAATGAGCACATCCTTTGAGTGTCATGTCAGCAGTCAAAAAGTTTCAGATTTTGGAGCACTTAAGATTTCGGATTTTCAGATTTTAAAGTGCTCAACCTATCGTGAATTATCACATGTTAAAACATTCAAGTATTTTCTCTGGGCAGAGAGGGGAGACTATACTAGCAAGTTAAGAAAGGACAAGACTAATCTGTAACATTTGGAATGACTAGGAATGGGATTTTGCATAAAGGAAGAAAGTTCAGGAATGATAAATTTACACACCATGGATCTAGAAGGGATCTAGAAGGTGAGTTACTATCTGAACATTAGTTTCTTCAACTGTAAGTGGAAATCGTATTTATTGTTTATCTCAAGGGTCCTCAATTTTCATACTAACCCCATGTCAAACACCTAAGTCAGTGCCTGCTGCAGTTGGTTGTCAAAAGTAATAGCAAAGCTGCCATTTATTATGTTAACGATGCACATCCCTTCCAGGGGCTGCACACCTGACATGCTACCATGAGGCACCCCTCTTTATGCCAGTCTACAATTCAGGTTAGTACAGCATTTTGCCTGTTACTAGACCGTTGGTAGAAAGTACTGGAAATCATCATGACAAAGGGTACTGCTCACTGTACAGTCCTGACCACTAAACAAGGCTCTCAATAGATTCATGGCTTTGCCTTTATTAGAAGAGAAGACTCCAAAGGACCCAGAAAATTATTTGCCCCAAGTCATTTTTCTGCTTTCTATATTGTGCTGCTGGAGCACCTGCCACTCCTAAGTTCACTGATTCCATCACACAGCACTACATGTTCCACACCAACCATAAGCAGTGCTCCAATATTACAGACTTGGCCCCTGCCACTACAAGTCTATGTCACAGATCCATAATACCTCTCACAGGCTCCTGACATGCCTGTACCCATCACACACACACAAACCCTGGCTTTCTTCAGATTTCTCAGTTCTTCCAGCAGAACCACAAAGTGTCAGTGCTACAAAGGACCTTAAAGGTCTACATAGAGTCCACTTACAGCTGCAGAATGAGAACTACCCATCAAGGTAGAATGACCTGACCAAAGTCTCATAGCTAATTAAATAGTCACTTAGCCAGAAGCCCCTGCTCTCTGTCACTATCTTACCAAGGCCCTATAACAAGGCTTTTTATAGCTCCCTTGCTTCATGTCAACAGACAGATGTAGCCTATCATTCCTTTTTTCAAATCTTTACTTCCAAGTGCCCTCTGACACTGTCCCTTTGCGCTTTCCTAGTTATAAAAACCAATCCAGAAGTAGTCTATCAACTGGGACCAGATTACTCATCCTAAGGTAAAAATGACTTGTATTAACTGGACATTTGCTTTGTAATAGGTGATAGACCTTCGACCCAGTATTTCTAATGCAGTAATAACAGACCTCAGTGAAGACTGGGTTATTCATGCAGCTGTTCGGGGAGGAAAAGGAGGGCCTTCTCAGGTCTGTCATATCCCTGCAATATTACAGCCCCTGCTGTGTACAGAGAACACAAGTACAAAGATGGACCTCTGCTGTGTACAAGGGACACTAGAATAAAAAAGGACCCTGTCCTTCTAATAAATATTGAATGAACAACTAGGAAAGAAAGAAGGGAATAACTCAAAACCTTCTGAAACTTCAAACATAGTGTCCTCATCTAGGGTCTTAACATAAAAATCTTTCCCTTATTCTGAATCATGTCAGGCTTTAGGCGATTACCTCACAGTATTTTAAAAGAGCTGCACAGATCCAAATGGGCAGATGGTGTTATTTAATGCGCACATATTCGGTGTCACTTTGAATTCTTTTCCCTGGTGCATACCTACAATGTAAACAGCAGAGCTCTCATAAACAAATTTAGATTTTAAAAGTACTTCTTGGACATGCTAGTAGCTCAGTGGGCCTGTCACAGTGGAACAAAACAGTTTTTAGTCTGACAGATCACCAAAAAATTAAAATACAAATATGCATTTCATAGTCTTAAAAACCTCTCCTTTTTTCCTATTCATGCTCTTCCCCTAAGAAGGTCAGGTAAGATGAGAATAAAAAGTATCAAGCGGGTTTGGGATTTAGGAAGTCAACAGGGACCTTACCATTTAGTTTAAAGGCAAAACCCCTTTAAACTAGATAGCTGGGCTATGCGACCTTGGTTGCTTTTCTTGATTCCTTGGGGATTAGTTTTCTAATGTGTAAAATAAGATCATTGTAAGCATTCAGTTAATGTTGGACGAAGAGATGGAGAGAGAAAGGGAGGGATGACTAGAAGACTGAATGGAAGGATAGTTGGAAGGTTGACTGGATGGATGATAAGGGCTGGTCTGGTTGATGTAATGGGAGTTTGTCTAAATAAACAACAGGATCAATAAAAGATTTTGTGTTCATTTTGTTTTTTACGAAAAAGAGAGGCTCACACATATTTGTGCTAGGGGAAAAGAATGCAATGGAAAGAGAGAAACTGATGGTGGGAAACAGTACAAATTACCCAGAGACATGATGCCAAGTAGGAAGCATATCTATTCTGCCTTTTAAAAGTAACCCACCGGCCGGGTGCAGTGGCTCACGCCTGTAATCCCAGCACTCTGGGAGGCCGAGGCGGGCAGATCACCTGAGGTGAGGAGTTCGAGACTAGCCTGGCCAACATGGTGAAACCCCATCTCCACAAAAATACAAAAATTAGCCAGGCATGGTGGTGGGCACCTGTCATCCCAGCTACTCGAGAGGCTGAGGCAGGAGAATTGCTTGAACCCAGGAGGCGGAGGTTGCAATGAGCCGAGATCGTGGCAGTGCACTCCAGCCTGGGTAACAGAGTGAGACTCCGTCTCAAAAAAACAACAACAACAAAAAACAACCACTTCTTGCTCTAAGATAGGAAGAAAGAGAAAGAATGAACAGGGGGAGACATTCTATTTTGGAAAGTAGAGTGTGTTATGAGCTGTTTCCCAGGCTAGCAGGCAATAACCGGATAAAAACTGGGTGACACTGATCTCAGTGGAGATGCAGGGAAGGTTTATCTTCTGGGAATAAGGGAGGTGGGGATGGAATTGGGAATGAGGGCTGAGGAAGTGGTTTGGACCTATATCTTGCAAGGCAGAAGGGCCAGAAGCTATACTCGAGGCCCATATCATATTTAAAACAAAGATACTTTGGCAAGGACCCAGTTACCAATGCCCAGTGAGTTCCTTCATTATTATTTGACAGAAGCAGAGGGGATAGCCAAGGAGTACTGGGGCTGGGAGCTGGGGGCAGAGACCCAGGTTTCCAGCTGCCCTAAGCTTCAAACTTGTCTCATGTTTACCTGCAGGGAACAAAAATCTGGCAAAGGAACAATAAACAAGGCCCTTCCATCAATCTTGCAGACCTAAAAGCCTTTGCTCAAGATGCCTAGATTCTTCCTATCCAATAAGTCCTCCTCTTCTTTTGAATTGCATATTCTGTATATAAAACACTTCATGCGTCAGGAATTTCCCTATGCCCTATTATCACACTCAAAAATGCCTCCAGATTTCCACACAGCAAAAGCGTAGTAATTCCACACCAACGCCATTAAACCCGTGGGAAATCGAAAGATGTCAAAGCTCGAAATTGGCTAAGTGCTTGTTAAGAATTACAATGATGTCACAGGAGGATAGATAC